TTCCATGAGGAAAAGGGTAGATGCTTGTATTGAAGCTGAAGGCGGTCATTTTCAACATTTATTATAATTGTATTGTCGATATTCGACAGGTTTTTGTTCATTGTTTGTTCACTTTTGTTTTTAGTTGTAGAAGTCTTAAGAATCATAATTTGGTTGGCTGTTGTTTAATAAAATGCTATTTTACATGAGCTTATTTATTTTTTTCTCATAAATTTTCGAAAAAATCTTGTAGAGATAAAAAAGTTAGTCAATGAATTGGGCTTTTCAGTCATACTTTTTTAAAGAAAAAATTTTCATCTAAAAAAAAGTTGTAAGAAAAAATATCTTAGGCGTTGATTGTTTCAACTTCTTCTAAGCATACTTCAGGGTTGAAAAAATTTCAAAAAGTGTACTTTTATTGACAGATAATGTTTACCAAGTTTCGTGTCTTTAGCTTGATATACAGGGAGAATAAAAAAGAAAAACTATTTTTTTTTAATTTTCGAAGGGGTGTAACTTTTCCGGGGAGAGTTTTTTCAAAAAAATTTATACCAAACACTCACATTAATTTTCATCACAGAATCACCCCTTTAATTTTTTCGGTGTTATTTAGATATACAAAATAAACTAATTGGTTAAAGTAGGTACTTAAGAGAAATATATTCCAATAAGATATCATTACCGGGTTTATCTCACAGAAAACTAAGAATACGTAAAGAGATCTAATTAAGCTCAGTTATTAATATCTAATTGATCACTTAAGAGGTTATTTGAATTTTTAAATGTATTTATTTCAAGTGTTTCTAAATGGTTTAATTTAATGTCTGTATTCTCAAAATGTGAAACAATTTTTGCATAGACGATTGATTTTCAGATAAAAATATGTTTTGTAGAATTATTTTTGTTTTTAGTATAACTATTGTAATGTTTTAAATAGCTTTTTTTAAGTACGGCCCATTTGACCAATATACAATTATACCACAATTTAATTTATTTGAATATGGATAATTTCCTGACCGTAACAGAATTTTATATTAATACCGAAAGCGGTAGAACAGCCTTAACCTAAAGTCGGCTTACTTAAAAATAATGATTTTTTAATTGACTATAGAATTATGTACTAATAATAACACTAAGCAATATGTATGAACAAGTATCATTTACTATTTTCCATTTATTTGATCGACGGCTAAAGTGCAGTACCATTTTAAGTTTGTTACACGAATGTTTTTGGTTCTGACCGCGCCATCTACTGACAACGTTCAAAAAATTTACGATAGCCGCGTAACAGGTCCTTACAGGAAAATTCATTACCTCGTAAAATTTATTTTGTTTTGTAATGCAGTACCTCGTAACAGATAGTTGCCATTGATTTCTGCTATAAAAATATAGTGTTGAGCTTTGTTTTTACATTTTTGACGTTACTGAGGTAAGTAAATGTTTGTTTATTACAATTATTGCCATAAACATATCCTTATATTGCGTTTCATCCAAAAAATACTTTGATTTATTTTAATATCGTAGCGATTTAAATTAAAATAGGGTTTTTAGGATAAAATATTTATACGAGGTCCTGAATATTTTGTTTACTGTTTTACATTTATTATACGTGGTAATGCATTACCTTTTTACACGCTTTAAATTAACTTTAGGTTAGTTTGTTAGTATGTTTGGGATGAATCTTATGTTAGTTAATTAAAGAGAATAAAAAATTTCAGAATACATTGTTATAAAATAGTTATTTATGCAACAAGTTCAAAAAGTATGTGTTTATTGCACGCGACGTGAAATTGTCGAGTTAAACAACACGTCGAGTGTAATAAACACTTTTTGCACGAGTTGCATATAATATTTTTTCTACGTTCATGCAAAAACCAAAAAATGTTTTATAGAACTGCAGTTGTATTATCCAAATCATAGTAGCCGTGATCGTGTACCTTTGTTTGAGGCATTTATTTACGTTTGGGTTCATAATTTGTAATGACATTTTTAATAAAATACATTTTTTTATTAATTTATTTATTAAATGATTGAAAATAATATAAAATATGCAATTGTTTTTAAAACGTAACACAAAATGAAAATGGACTAAATATTTGGCGTTGATTTGAATATTTATGTTTGTCATTATCATAAAACGCTGTAGTAAATGACAGATGAGTGCAATAAAATTTTTATTGCACTAGTGCAATAAAGAACCAGTTTTTTCACTAAATATAGTTTAATAAAGTTTTGTTTTTTGCATGAACGTAAAAAAAAATTATGAACAAGATTTCATAAATGGCACGAAAAAAGTTTAAAATAGATTTCTGATACCATAATAAAAGGTATGGTCGAAAACATAAAGAAAAATAGAAAAGCGCTTAGCACTTCAAAGATACCTTCACACTCAAAAGGCTGGGCATGCTTTTATTGTAGTATCAGAAAACTAAAACTTTACTATTTGTAACTTTTAAGTGTTCTTTTATAGAAGCTTGTTTATAATATTTTTTATAGAAATGTATTTCTTATTTTTAGGCTATAGTAACAATGGGATCACGAACGATGCAAATTCTAGAGAATGCAAAAAAATGTTTGAAAAAAAATATGTTAGTCAGAGCAATATAGATGCAGTAGATATAGAAAATGCCGAATTCATTTTTGAAGAAGACCTAAATCATCCTATAATTGCAACAGTTGTTGGTACCTCAAACCAAGTTTTAAGGCAGTTTGAAAACGACCCACAGCAAGTTTGTAATGATTTAGATCTAAAAAGAAAACCAAAATGAAGTTTTAAATGCATCGGACTTGACTGAGAATTTGGAACCGTCATTTCCAGCTGTAATATCAAATAGATGTTTACAAAATAATTCATCTTCTAATAATATTGATTTAAGTCCGAGACAAAACCAGCATAGTCTCTCTGAAAATAATGAAGAAGAAAACATACCAGATAGGAACATAGAGAGTAGCGATAAAAGTAATAATGCTGATAATGGAGATAATATCCAGTCAACCATTGAAAATGATGAAGAATACACACCAGATTCATGCATAGAGAGTGACAATGAAAGCGATGTTGGATATATCCAGCCAAACAATGAAAGAATCGAGCCTGAGGAAACCGAGGCCGATGAAAGTGCTAAAGGAAATTTATCAAAAAAGAAGCGGGAAAAAACCAACCAAAACACCTAAATAAAAGACTAAGGATGCAAGAACAAGAATATTTAGGATTCAGAAAACCAAGAAATCAAAGAAATACATTCAATGATACAAACAGAGCAAAACGACGCCTTAAACCACGTTGCAATTGCGGCGACGAAAAGAAATCCCTACGAAAGTGTAAATTAATTGTCGAAAATGACCGCGAAGCTTTATTTAATAATTTTTGGTCAAAAATGACATGGGACCAAAGAAAGGTTTTTGTGTGTAATACAGTTACCTTAAAACAATTAAAAAATAGAACATCGGACTCAAGAACGACAACAACACTAATATACACTTTAAAGGTGAATCACCAGATCATTCCAGTTTGCAAAAAAATGTTCCTAAACACAACAGGTCTTGGCGAATGGTCGGTAAGGAATTGGGTGTTAAAAAGTAGTGACGGTGTTGTTGAAAAAAAAAAAAAAAGAAAATACTGTACTAAGCAGAATGAAAATAGAAAATATTCATGAAGAATCTACAGAATATCTAAGAAAATTTTTGCGATCACTTAATAAGTTACCTGCTCACTACTGTCGCAAGGAAACTTCAAAAAAATATCTGGAACAACCATTTCAGTCCATGGCTCAATTACACCGAGAGTGCAATATCAAAGGAAAAAATCTGATGTGTCCAACACATGACTTTCCTATCTAGTTATTATAGGCTTTTCCGGTTATTTTGCACAACCTATTTCAGCACCTCCATAAATGTTTAGAGGATAAACTAAATATATACATTTTCCACATACATCTAACTCGACACATTTTTCTATAATATATATTCCATAAAATGTAAAAACGGCCTCCCATAAAGTACCCCCACCCAGATGTTCCGCCTTCGTCCAAAGTCTAAGCATTTTACCTCAGGCCGAAATAAAATTTAAAATTTAATGTTTTTTCCTTTATCCGTTTTTGAGTTTTCTTCAAAATTCGAAATTTACACATTTTCTCAAATATCTCGAATACGGTCTATTTAAGAGAAATTATGTATAAAACAAAAATTATAGAAAATTATATTACAAACAACTTTTATTTGAACAATTTTTATAAAAAAAATTTTTTTTTACATTTTGTCAAATTTCTCGAATACGGACCATTTTGGGAAAATTTAATAAAAAACAAAAATTATAGATAATAATATTGAGAGTAACTTTTATTTAAAGAATTTTCTTCTCCAAACGTAAACAACGAATATATTCCATAAAATATAAAAATGACTACCAATAAAGTAGCCCCACAAATGATCCGACTTTATTCAAAATCTAATCAGTTCAAAAATCCGTCGAAAACGGGAGGTCGAAAAAAATCATGATTCCTATACTTTCCTTATATCTGTATAGAGATAGGAAATTAAAAAGTGTTTGTCTATAACCAAACTAACAGAAATTGTAAACGAGCTCAACATTGGAATATTTACACCTCGAAAGGATAGATGCGATGAGTGTTATAAGTTTGAAAACGGAAACTTAGAGGAAGATCTATTTTTGAAACATTGTGAAGAAAAAGACAGGGCCAGAAACGAAAAAGAATTTGACAAAAATAGAGCCATTTTCGGGGAATTTCATACACTTACAATGGATTTTCAAGCGGTCAAGATTTGTCCTCAGCTAAAATCTAGCTCACTGTATTACAAAGTAAAGCTTTGTTGCCACAATTTTACCATCTACGACTTGGCAACAAATTTGGGAACTTGCTATTGGTTTGACGAAACCAAAACAGATCTGCCAGTCTCGTGTGTTGTCGATTATCTCAAAGATATTTTTTTTGGACAAAGGTGACAAAAGAGAAATTATTATATTTTCAGATTGTTGCACAGCACAAAATCGCAATTCCATAATGTCCAACGCGCTACTTCAGTTGGCTGAAACTTATGGTGTAAAAATAACACAAAAATATCTGGCCAAAGAACATACCCAAATGGAGTGCGATAGCATACATGCTTGTATTAAAACTTCATTGAAAAATAAGGACATTTACCTTTCAAGCGATTATGCTCGAATAACGAAGGAAGCTGAGAAGAAAAACCCCTATGTAGTTAAAATACCAGACTTTGATTTTTTTACCAATTTTAATCACAAGCCATTACTGAAGTATGATTCCATAAGGCCTGGAAAAGTAACATCAGACCCAGTCGTCACAAATCTAAGAGCACTGGAGTACTTGCCAAAAGGAGAAATTAATTTCAAAATAAATTTCAACGATGAGTTTCAAACGCTTCCTCGACGACCAAAAGCTATAAGTCTGGCTGGAGTTGTGTTTCCGCGGTTATACAACAGACTGTAAAAAATTAAAAAAAAAAAGTTTGATCACCTTAACAGTTAAGAAACAGTTAAAAATCCATCTATACACATCCCGGTTGCAAAATAAATACAAAACGTAAAAAAATGTAGTTTTTCTCGTTTCCTGTAAAATTTACCAAAAAATGATACGAGGTACTGGACTTTGACCGTCGTTATGTCTTAAAATGTACGCGCCCCTGGTTTACAACTTTCTAGGTAAGCTACCAATTCTATTCATCGGTAGGCGTGTTCGTAGTATTATAAATGCGCGTCCTTGGTTCTTTAGATTTGGCGTGTAACAATAAATTATTTACAAACTTAAAATCTAATCCTATCTAAAAGTATTGATCATTTATAAACGTTTTTCTTGCATTTGCAGTTTTAAAAGAAGAAAATAGGCCAAGATTATAAAAAAGATTGATTGGAATCCTGGAAAAAACAGTTTTTATCTTCAATTTTACAGAAAATTACATTGATAGATCTTTCTCTCTTGTTGTTGTACTGCTGCCAAATACTGTACATTGTACCTACCTTTTAAGTGACTCTAATGAAATATGTAAGTATTTATTTACAATTATCCCTATTTGTATTGATAAAATTGGACAAAATCTATACCAGCTTTTAAGCTGCCATTAGGTTTGAAAAGTAATAAATGTCTAAATCAGATAATAAAATAATCTTATTTTACTCTACGCAGAAGTGCCTACACATAGTATTTATACAGAAAAAAGTTTTCAACACCTGTCTAATAATTGAAAATGTAAAATATATTGTTTTGAATTTTTCAGGTAAAAATCTACAATGATTTGATTAAACAGGTAGTTGTGTGATGCAGCTTCTTTAGCTCTTCCTGGACTTTCTGTTTGTCAACAAAGTTGTACATACATATAGTCAGAAGAGAACCTTCCTGATTTCCCTCGTAAAAAGAAGCTTAAAAGACGAATCCAAAACTTGGCACAGAACAAAGTGGAAAATATTAAATTAGGAGAAAAACAGCAAACCGTATGGAGCCAACGGAAAGTAATCAGATCTTTAAAGAAAATATTGCTGGAAAAATGATTATGGATAATAAGGAAAATGTTATTTTTGAAAATTGTGGAAATTAAGAAATTGTTGAACGAGTATTTAGGAAAACCTTGGGCAAGAATGACATTTATCAAAATCTTTTGCAATTACACTACATTTTATATTTCCATTAATCCAATATCATCAAACAAAATAATTGACTAGGTAAAAATTTGATAAATTATTTAAAATATTGTTGTTAAATTGTAAAAATCCTGAAATATAATTATCCACTTCTAAAAAGACTTTGTTTTATTGAATTTTTAATCTACTAAAAATGTTAAATAATAATGTCCAGTAGCAATTTTCCCTTTACTTGGCAAAACCATCCTTCCTCACTTGCACATAACAAATATGAAACATGAGTCACCCTGTACTTGAGCACCGAAGTTTAAGCGGGTTTTTTATATAGTGATTTGGGTTAGTAAAAAGTATATGATAAATATTAAATTTATTGATTTACTTTAGAGTCGAAGTTCAAACAGGTTTTTTTATATAGTCTTTATAACTGATAAATATTAAATTAATCTGTATTTTAGAGTGGCATTATTTCTGTTCGTAAAAATTTCTTATAATCCTTTATTAAATCTCAAATTTCCCTGAAACGAGACAAGACCGAAACTTCACTGGTAGCTGATTTACGATGACACGAAATAATATTTCTGTTTCTTTAAAATATAATGGCCCGTGTTTATGTTTTTGCTTGTAACATACTCGAGGCGCTCGTAAATTTGGGTAATAAGATGTCAGAAGTTTTTTATATCACGACGAAAACGATGCTAATAAACTCGAAATGAACGTCTCAGCCCTGCTGCAACGCGTCACGTCACTTTCTGTCTTGAATTTCAACGATTTTTTTTAACGGAATAAGTAAGTAGACTATAAGACGAAATAATAACGAATGGTTATCTTTAAAAGGTTTTAGAAGGTTGAAAAAGTAATAAAGACAAAAAAAATAAAATAAAATGATAGGTATAGGTTGTACGGTTTAACACTGCATGTTATCTTCGATATTCTGTGTATTTCTTCTTCAAATCAATATCTGTTTATAGTTATTTATAGTAATTTATTTAACAGACAGTGCCATGACTGAGTGATTCATTAACATACAGCTCAAAATTATATTAGTGCATGAAGGTGCTAACTCACTTTTTTAATAAAATGTTGGAAATGTTATGTATGAAGGTGTTAACTCATTTTCTTTGCATTAGTATAGACTCTGGTTCATAGATGCCACCAAGGGCCTTACAAACTAAAATTCAGAACGTGTCAACTCAAGTTTTGTCAAAGAAAGAAGTCAGAAGTCAGAGAAAGAAGGTGTTAATTCTTGTTCATTTGTACAAGAAAGGGTTAACTACTGAGTTAGCGCATTCTTTCGGTATTATTGGATTGTTTATATAAAGCACGTGTTGTTGTAGTAGTGTTATATTCTGTACATTCAGTGGTTTCTTCTATTAATTGTGTTTGGCAAAACAAGTAAGTTTTTTATTTATGTTATATATTAATATTATACACTAAATATGATTCCTAAGTTAAAATATTTATTTAACATAACTTTAAAATTGAAAAAATAAAAATAAAAACAAAGATTTTAAATTTCAGTTTTGCAAATATGTAATGGCTGGGCCTAGTAGAAGAACTAGTAATATTACACATTTAGCTTTGACTGTTGCTAAGATAACTGTAGAAAAAATAGAAGCCGATTAGGAACCGTTTTTAGATTCTGGTTCTGAGTACGAACCAGAATCACCGACGAAGAAAATGCGGAATATTCTCCTAAGAGAAAAATATTAAAAAAGTATTTAGAGTCAAGAAAATATCAAAGCAAAATACAGCTACTGCTTTTGAAAACCAAGAACAATTCAAAACATCAAGACCTAGCATGTGGTTTTGTTTTAGTAAATACTTGATCGCAATAAATATTCACTTTATAATGCCAGAAAATTATAATGTACTTGCCCTCTCTTGTTTTTAGAACATCAAAAGGAAAAGCAAATACAAAATGTTAATGACCAAAGAGAACCTGGCGAAACTATAGAAAATGATCCGAAGGAAAATAATATTAAAGATCAACATAATATTGGTAAGATTAAAAATCACAAATATATTAGACTTAATAATAAAAGTAAGCCAAATTTTTATAATACAGGGTATCCCACTATAAAGTAACACATCGACGTGTATTTTTCGTTAAACTTCTTATATTTGCTTCCAGTTTTTATTGACATAGTTGCAAAATGTATAATTTTTCCCAAAATTGCCAAAAAAATTAGCCTTTTTTGTCGATTAATAATTTGAGTATGTTCGTTATTGATCTACTTCCCATAAATTTATGTGATATTTCTTAACATCTGCTATATTTTTATTAAAGGCGCCTCATTAGAACCGTGTCTAATTATGTCAGCTGGTTTTGGAAAAGGATACAGTTGATTTTAATGGTATAATTTATAGCATTAATAAATTTATTCCGCTACATAGATAAAAATTATTGTTTTAGAAATGGAAAAAGAAATAAGAATACAAGAGGTTGGCATCAAAATCAACCGAAAAATAAGTAAAAAAAAATCAAGGAAACTTCAAGCTCTACCAAATTAGTGGAAACGGAACGTAAATATGTTAAATAGAGACCTAAAAAAAGCATATACTGACTATAAAAATAGGCATGTTCCAGAAAAATCATCTGCATTTGGACAAGAACTTTACAAAGAAAAATGTAGGTTAAAATGCTGATGTTGATCGAAATATTCTTTTTAATCAATACTACTCGTTACGTAGCATTAATGAAAAAAACATCTTCCTGTTTGGTTGTCTGCAACCTTTTAATGTTAAGCAACCAAGCAGACTCAATACTATTCGTCAGAAATTGTTTACATATTTTATAACATTAGAAGGGAAATAAAAACAAGGAAGAAAGAAGTTAGAACTAATTCGTAATCAAATTTCTCAAAGACCTTTTCCGCATAAAGATCTGCGGGGTCATCACATTAACCGCAATAATAAAACACCTAACCAGCAACTTGACATAGTCCGTCAACATATTGAATCTATTACTGAAGAAATATCACACTATTCCAGAAATAGAAATGAACATTATCTATCTCCTATGCTATCAGTAAACAAAATGTATTAATCGAATTAAATTACCTGTTTTGAGCTTACATTAAATTGTAATTAGATGAAATAAAATGGATTCTATGTATTTTGAGGTGATCTTTTCGAAAAAAGGCAAAACAAAATGTAGCAGTTTTTCGAAAGTGCCGAAATTTTGGATTTTGTCAATTTTTCAATTTTGCGCATGCGCCTGTCGCAAATAAATCAATATTTTTAAAACGCAGTTTACGACATTTGAAAGTTTAGAAAAAATGTAATTTTTATTTTTCTTGAGAAATTTTGATCCGATGCACCGTTCTCGCGGTATGGACGATTGAAATTTGTTTAGTATTTTGAGGCGGCGAAGGTCGAAAAATTGAATTTGTTAAATGTTCAAACACTAAATTCTTCATAACTTTGGTAAAAATTAGGATATTTAAAGAAACAAAAATTCGTTTTGAACTTAAGGGATGTGACTATTGATTCCCAGAAGGGAGCAAGAGAAATCCCAAAATTGGGCATATGGCGGAAGGGCAAAGTGTACCGCACGCCTAATTTCATTGTTTGCCTATAACGGCCAAACTATTTAAATTTTTTTAATGCCACTTACAGAGCTTACTCTTAAATATGAAATCTTATACGTGTGTGAATTTTACCGAAATCGGAATATAATTGGCCAAGATATAAAACAATTTAACAAATTTTTTTCCCTAAAAAAAAACTTTTTTTTTCGAAAGTTTGAAGTGGCACAAAAATGCCAAAAATGCCAAAAATGCACCTAATGACTCAAAACTTTTTTTTTAATACTCTGTTATGTCTAGAATACGATAACATTACGGAAAATTCTGCAAAAATATTTTATCTATTTTTTTGACCACTGTTCATTGAGTGACGACCAAAAAACACGGTTTTTGAGAAAAGTTGCCTAAAATTGACGATTTTCAGTTTTTGGTCTAAAAATTAAGCAAACCCAAATCTCATATCTTTTGAATATGTATACAAAGTTTAAAGTGTGTATGTTTCTTCTAAGTTGTAGAATTTTCCCGACAAAAGTCCCATTACACGCGCTCCGCGGGATCCAAAACTCGTGCATTTCTGTAATTTGATTTTTTTGTGATTTCCAGTTTTAAATTTCCTACATACCTAAATTTATTAGGCCCAAAATTTATTAAATTGTATTTTACTGACTTGTTATAGTTTTGTGCAAAAAATAGAATTACCGCAAAATTAGCAGGACGTCGTATCAAGGATAGCCATGGTCTCGGCGTTCGCTATCCGACAAGTTTAAACTTGAAACGGTCATATTATTACAAATTGAATCGCTTGATAGTGTTTATGGCATAGATTTTTAATAACCGTGTTCAGCAAGCTCTGTGTACACGTGGTTTTTCGGACTTCTTCAGCAATTTATTGAGTAAATACGTTCTTAAATTAAGAAAATTCTATCACAGTGCTATAATTTTTTTGTTTCCAGGTTGCAATGGCTAGCCTGTGTTTATGATGTCATCAGAAACTTGCAGAGGGTGAACTAACCCCAATTAGACCGACAGGATTGAAAGGTCTGCAAATGGTCAGCCAACAGAGAGGGAATGATTTTTTCAGTTCTTTAAAACCAGGTTTTATATTGCATGAGAGGTGTCGCAAACATTACGTAGCTCGACGTTACGGAAAAGAGTTTATTTATAAAACCTGGGATAGGCATAAAAGGGCCGCAATTGACAATGCCAAAAAAAGGAGGATGGAGCATCAACCGAGAAGAAAACCAGATGTTAGAGAACAAAAAACAAGCTTATCACCAAGTTGGAACTTACACTCAAGCTTAGGATTAATTTCCCAATATTTTTAAAGTATACCTTTTTGTATATTTTTTTGTGCTCTTTCCGATGGCGCAGTTAGTTTCTTTAAATATATTTTTTGTTAGATGTTTTCAGAAAACCCGGAGAAAATCATATGGGAAAAAAATTAAAAAAAGATTTCGCCACGGGACTTATTTTATTTGAGAGCCCACAAAAAATACGCAACTTCTCTCATGGGCACATATGTCTAACATTTATAATTTCGCCACAATTTTTTTTCTTTTTTTCGGAAAGATCACATCAAAATACACAAGGTCCACTTTGTTTCATCCAATTACAAATTAATGTAAGCTCGAAGGGGCTTTTTTTTTTCGTTATTTAATTGGAATATATGAACTATACAAAACACAGTGTTCTGAACAAAAATTACAGTTTGTCAAAAATAGTAGATACAAGAAAATTTTTATTTCCGAATTTAATTTTGGGTTTGGAACTCCAAAATCAGATACTTGTAAAGTTTGTGATTCTAACGAAGAAAATAATGAACATGTTGGGCGCTATAAAGCAGCATTTAAAGAACAGAAAGACAAAATATATATATATATATATATATATATATATATATATATATATATATATATAAATTTTATACGCAGAAAACTTTGCCCCTACCAAAGATTTCTACTAGTGTATAGCCTTCTATCTCAGACAAGTGTGGCTATACCATTTGGGTATTCATTGAGTAAGCAAAGATGATACCTTCGGTAAAGGAATGTTTCATCTTTGAACTGAAGACAAAGGTGGTAGAGACCCAGAAGAAGTTGGAAGTAGTGTTTTATCATTCCTACAAAACATTTATATCGAACGTGACCATTTAGTAGCCTGGAGCGATTCTGCAGGTGGACAAAACAATTTTTTTTATATAGTTTGTTTGTGGCATCACCTGGTACAATAGGGAATTTTTAAAATTGCTGACCATCAGTTTCCAGAGGTTGGTCATAGTTTTATGGATATTGATAGAGACTTTGGTGCTGTCAAAAAAGTTATTAGAAAAACTCAAAATATTTATACAGTTGATCAATATATGACCATAACGAGGGAAGCTAGGAAAAGGAATCCATTTGTTATCACCAGAATGGAAGATAAATTTATTGATCTAAAAGAACTACCCCTAAGTTGAACTTGTTTGACAAAAAGAAAAGTAACAAGGGCAAGAAGATATTTTTTCGCAATGTAAGATGGATAGGAGTTGAAAAATTTGGTACAACAAAGTATAGATATTCCCTAGATGAAACGGAAGAGTGGAAAGAAGTTAATATTATTAAACACAAACAAACCCGTACTGCAGGACAACACGAAAATATTTGTGTACCAATAGCAACCAAAAAATTTGATAATATTCAAGAGCAGCTCCCATTTATTCCAGAAAACTTAAGAGGATTCTTATTGAGTTTAAATCAATCTGAAAATGAATAGTTTATCTAATATTTATATATTATAATAAATATAAGTTAACTCTTTATAATGCGTAATTATTTTAAATAAAAAAATATGGTTAAGCTAGAAGGTATTAACTCTATAAAAAATAAATAAAAAATTATCTAGAACCTCAAAAATGATAAAGGTTGTCCCATAACTTAAAAAAATACTTTTATTGCCTGAGTATAAGGTCAATTGAATATTGATTTTAGTTCAAGCAGAAAACCCTCCAACATTACTTTGACCCTTAATATCCCAAAATTGCTTACAAGTGACTTGACAACTTCATGCACTAATAACTTCAATTAACAGTGCATTAAGAAACCATATAAGTAAGATTTTAAAAATTCTAGAGGTATATATTTGTGGGGAAAACCATCTGTAACATTGTATAGCTAGTAAATATTGATAAGCAGTCAAGCGAGAAAATATAAAAAACATAGATGTAATATAAATATAGCGAGTCGCACCTTAGTTAAGCCAATAACGAGCCAACTACGCACCAAGAACGAGTCAATAACAAACCCAGTTCTATTATGGACAAACAGAACGAGTACTATTGGGATCTAAAATTAAGATCGCAGCGCCGTCTGTACTTAACATTTAAACTAATTGTTATGGCTTGTTATTGTTTACCTTTTTGAGTTTGTAAACAAACAACCCATAAAAAGTATTTGGTTTATATTGTGCTATTTTAAGGAAAACACGAGGGAACACATATTGTTGTTGTTAATTTTTAGTGATTTCAATAGTTTTTAGATTAAAGTAGAATATATATTTTTATTTGGTAAGTAACCCCCTATTAATTTTGTTTTTAAATTACATTCATTCATTTATGTTAATTTAAGATATATTTGTGTTATCTTTTAATAAAATATTAATATATTTATTTTATTTTTAGTGAGATGCCTGAAATAAGGCTAAGTTTAATAGAACTTATGAAGTATATTGATGCAGGTGGAAATTCCAGGACTGTTATTAAAGAAGATGCTATTTTAAATGCGGGCCACATAGTTTTTATGTGGAAAGAATGAATTTAGTGATAAACACGTTTTTGCAGTTGTTCTCCAAACTAGTGCATTGAATTCAGGTCCCCATATTGTTGTAGGCCAGTGCAAGATGTTTAAAATTAGTGAATGGCAGTGTTTGTTTTAAGATGGGAACAGTGGACAGTGCAAACATATTTCAGGAGTCTTAATAAAGTGTTCTAGGTGTATACTGTTTCAAATCATCTATGAACACTGTACAGATATGAAATCCACCAATATTTGGTCCCCAGGATACCATTATTTTTTTAAATTTTAAATGAGTAACAAGTCAAACTAATTTTCAGCATAGTTTTTAGTTATTGAGATTAAATATAAATTACAAATGATTATTGTGAAGAATCGATAAATAATGGCACTACACAAGATATTCTTTTATATTTTTAAATAAATCTAAAATCAGTTTATGATTATTACAAAAACTATGTGTCCTTGGTACGGAAGCAGAATATTTATGGCTTCACTTTTATGTTTGCATAAACTATTTGATAATCAAATTATTATTTCAATGTTCCATAATTTTATTTAACAAGATGTTTTAAAACATATAGAATAATTATTGTTTTAAAATCATCTATTAACACAAGTAGGTACTATTTTGTTTGTTTGTTAGTTTTGATGTAAAATTTACTAGGTCATAATTTTAATTTGTAGTTTGTATTAGTTTTTAGTCTTAATACTTTTATAATATATTATTTAATCCATGTTACTTATTATTTTACAAACAATTGTATGACACTTTGCAAGTGTTCTTATTCTTACCTTTTTAACACACTGATGTTTGTAATGTTTGGATATTGTGTGAATAATTATGATATTAATAACATAAGTAATTCATGTGATCTCTTCTTTAATACAATAAATGAAAATGTACAGCTTGAAATTTATGATTGATTTTGTACTTGAGAGAATACTCTTTTTAATAATTATTTTTATTCTCAAGTTTACTAGTCATCGTGTACAGTTACATTTTCTAATGAGTGATTGTACATTTATAATGTATTTTTGTACATTTTTTATATTATTCTGTAATAGAATAGTTCGACACATGCAACGAAGACTATAGTAACTCATTATTTTTAGTCTAATCTAAGATAATATAGTATTCAAAGTATTTTATGGCCTAAAATGATTTACTATATTTGATGGTAGTATTTCTGGTTGCTTAACCTCTTCGTTTAGATAGGTATAAGATACTTATTTAGATCAAAGCTTTTGGCAAATGTATGTGCTGGATAAAGGTAACTAAAAACTCTCAAAAATGAGTCTTCTTTGCATGGGTCGAGTTGATTCTGTTGGTAAAAAGGCTATTATTATAAGCAATAAATATAAAAATCAAATATTTTTTATTTTTCCTGTTAACAAAATATGCCAATGTTTACATAATAATAAACATTCTTCATTGAGTTACAATACCCAATAGGCCATCTTCCGAAGTACTTCAGCTGATTTGACTGTATTTTCTAGTACAGTATGTTAAAGTTGTTAATACCAGTGAATGAACACAACTCTTTGTCAGATTTTAAAATATCTGAAATTGTTTTAATTTTTGGGGTATGCGCACTTGTACACTAATGGCAATATACTTGAAAAAGAGTATTTGCAACCTCTGTCTTGTTTGGCGTGAGTAGCTAGGTTATCTTGAAACAAATCACTCTCAACTATGACTTTGTTTAATCTCACTATCACATTTAACACCCATTGAACTTTTTTTAGTTTGGTCACAAAATCTTTATTCTGTGGTTTTGATCTTCTTTTTGTTCTCTCAATATTTGATTTTGAAGTTTATTGAACAGAATCGTCAAACATTTACTTAAAAACTGGCAGGAAGACACAGCGATTTTTTTTTATATTTTTTTTCACTTTGGATGAGGCATCTACAACACAAAAAAAGGTAAAATAAAAACATTCAATCGAAAAATAAATCTATATTACCTCTAGGCAAATCATCTTTAAAATGCTTCTCAATTTTTATTTTTGTAACCATGCATTTCTTGCAGAATTTCCACTTACAATTTATAAAAATTACCCTACATTTACCAACTTTAGAAAGCAAATGAAATGTAAAAGAAGGTCCATTTTTTTAGGGCTGCATCCAGGCACCCAACAAGTGTGTTTTTCACTAATATTCCACTTATAGTTCAAATAAAATAATATTTTAATATATATAATATAAATTTAAAGCATTAGCTTATTATTAAATAAGATATTTCAAACAAAATACTTGTTAAATTTTAAAATATTGAAATGACCTGATAAACAATAAACAAAACTTGACAGAACACAGACGGTCAAGTGTCAAATGGCATAACTTTTAGTTCACAGTAGAGGGCGTATCGCTTATCTTCAGATCCCAATCGTGTGGAGTGTATATTTGTCGATGGTTGTTAGTCATCGTTAGTAATCGATATGTTGGGTTTTCGCACACAGATCGAAGTTATTTCCTTTTTGTGTGTGCATATGATTGCCGATCTCTCAAGTTGTATTTGAATGTGTTAGGTATTAGAAAGCAATTCTTGAAGAATTTACAATGACGGCATGGATTAACTATCAACCGATTGATTTTATGAGTAAAACTATATTAGGATGAAGCAACTATATAGATCATTAATTTTAAAAATCACAAGGAACAATTTATTTATTAAAAATATATAGTAGAGTAGAATCGATCCTAAAACGTGTCTTTTTTTTGAGGTAACAACCAGATCAGACCACATAGGTTTTCTACAGTAAACATTTTTTTTGCGTTCCAGATTTTTTTTATTTCAAAAAAACAAGAAAAATCGACGATTTTTAAAAATGTATTTTTTGAGTTAGCAGTGCTAATTTTATTGTTAAATATGAATTAGAAATTTATTAAAATAATGAACCAAATATAAATTCCGTAAAACTGTATGAACATTTTCAACTATGAACAAACCTTTTTATTTGTAAAAATTTTGCGGTACATGCAGCGAGACAAATAATCGTAAATTATTTAAAAAGTTAAAAAAAATTGAGCTGCGATATGTCGTTTTGAGTTTAGAATTTATTTATTATGTGCCAAGCGCGCGCTTGATACATTCAGGCTGGACGCCTAATTAAATATGTCAATAGGTAATAGTTTTCCGTTTAACACACTGAATCAATTTTATTTAGGTATGAATGTTAGGTTTAGAAAGAACAATATAATATAATAATGAAACTAATAGGTAATTTAAATATAATATATTAGAATACGTTTTCATAGTCATCTGATTCATCTACACAGTCCAGGGAATTGCCACATTTAACACTTTTGCAAGCATCCCAACATTTAAGTCTTTATTGACAGGTGCACTAGTAATACATTCTTTATCGGAACAGTATATGTTTAAAAAATAACGCACCTTATTTGAAATTGGTTTTTGGATTGAAAACAACGGAATATAGCAATCATTTTTCAACGTCCATCCATAATATTCCAAATTATCAGTTCCAGTTTTTGCGATGTTGATATGGTACCATATTCTTAATTAATGAATACATCTACAATGGACCATAAATATAATTATATTTTATCTACTTAGGCTTTCGTATAAACAATAAATTAAAATAAACTTGATTTACCATAAGAAATGTTGATAAAAAGCAGCATCAGTTGGTGGTAATTCAGTAGATGGTTTATTAGTGTTTGTAGCCAACTTTAAACTTAAATTATTAAGAGTACGAGTATTATTGTCCTTATTCTTGTACAATAAAAGAATATATTTAGTAGCTAAAGCAAACCTATCATGCTCTGGTTCAAGTGGTACCTTGAATGAATTTTTCAATAAGAATGTTAAATGCTGTTTTTTTTTGTAAAAGGCACTTCTAGTATTATATCCAGTCAAAATGAACAGATGTTTAACAATCAAAGCTGTATAAATAGTCTCATATTTAACACTTCGATTAAACATTTTACATACATAAAAGTGAATTAATAAAATTAAA